ATTGGTTCCGTTGAGTGATCATGGTGGCCGGAAAAGAGGCAATAGCCGGACGATCCGAAGATACGTGACCACCTTTGCGAGCCTGACACGTTTTGGCTGTCCTGCTCATGCAAAACGCCCTTTGAAATGGTGCACTCAGTCGCTAAGGCAACGGGGGAGAGCGCTATTGTCCGTCAACTTTTGGAGCAGACCTCGTGGCGGAGGTCAGTCAGTACATGTCCATCTGCCTCAATCCTCGTCCATGCGAACCCACTAATCTTTTGCAGTGAGGTTACAATTTGCCCTGCATCAACCCATCACGCAGCCATGCGAGTGAAGATGCTCTCAAGAAGGCTCGTTGAACCTGGTTCGAGCCAGGCGACGGTCCGATTGCATGCCCAGCCAAATGTGTGCAGGTTGACGGTCGTTTTTCCTCACCGGAGACTGGGGTGGAGGAGGGGAAGCCTCCCATTTGCCTTGTTCTCCCATCATTCGGTCTGCTTCAAGTGAAAGGGTTCACTCGGAATCCGGCAGAAGGCCTGGCCTCTATTTAACACAACAACGCAGAGCTGGTGGAGAAATGCTCAATTTCGTGGACCCAGTACACCTCTGCATCACCGTTGATTTAAGGTCTCGATTCCCGTGTATGTGTGTTTGTGTGTGTGTGTGTGTGTGTGTGTGCATGTGTGTTTTTTATCCACATGTCACCACGAGGCTGTAATTGTTGCAATAACGCATGACCGCTAATCCTGACACTCGGAAGCCAGAGAAGTCGTTGCATTCACCGATTTGTACCAAGACAAGCGAGACAATTCACTCACACGAACAGGCTCCCCGTCTCTCCCGGCCGGCCATTTGATCGTCTGAGCCTGAGAAGCCCCAATCTGCCAGTCTCGGCTCAAGCAGCATCGCTGCGGGCCGGTGACTTAACAAGCTGGCTCCTCTCTGACGCGCCGGAGACAGGATAGACAAAAAGAGTGGAGTGGAAGCCTCAGAATCGAGCGCATCAAAGTCGCATCTGTTTTCGTCTCTGCCTACGGGAGCGTGAACCGCCAAGTCGGGTGACTTTCTACTCTTCACATCTGCGCTTCTCCCCTTCATCCACCGGCCGAAGGGAAACTGTATCCCCACCTCAGCGGGTCTCGAAGGGGAAACGATGAGACAATCACGGCACGCAAACTACCTTTCAGGTCTTCCTCGTTGCAGACCTTGTCCGCTCGAATACACTTTTTTGCCAAACAACGAAATGGCTTCTGTCGCCACCAATAACACCACCATCTCCATCAG